AAAAAAAAATACTAGAATAGGTTAGAAAAGACAATATAGGCTATAAGAATAAAAGAGAGATTTAAAGAGGCAACCAACCTGATGCACAAAAAAAGAATGTTCCTCGCTGATCGGCTTCATACAAAATGGGCATACGAAAAATAATGGGGCATTTTTTATACTCTCTGGATAGGGAGTAGGATAGAGAACCTGGAATAGCAGCATATGGGATGTGAAACAACAAAAAACAAATGCCGAAAAACAGCATTTATGAGTAAACAAAACGCTGTGGACCACAAAAAAAAAGAATAAAAATGTAGGAAAAAACTATGAGAATGAGAAAAGATATGTACCCTTATGTCTGTTCCTCCCCCAAGATTGATCCATTGCTCCTTGACTTGTTTTTCTGTTTCTTCCTTAACCGATAAAAGGGAGTCTTCTGCATCCAAAGCTTGTTTGAATCTAAACCATCATAAGTTACGCAATGTAGAAAGAACTCGAAAGGGCAGCCATAACATGAATCTTACAGTTCCTCATCCTCTTTCAGAAAATGTGAAAGTGTCTTCTCAGAAAACGTTCTCCTCCGAGGACTACGACTGGCCTCCCTGTGATGTTCGTCTGCTGAGATGAGACCATTATTGAGATTGTCACGCTCCTGCAGTATTTCCTTGGCACGATCAGCGCTTAGAGTACTGAATACGTTCCGTTGATTCTAAGCGAGGAAAGTAGTAGAAGTATAATAAAGTACCTTGAAGGACCTTGTATTGTAGTAGAAGCATCATCACTGATAGAAAGTTGTTTCACAAGCTTTTTCTTCCTTCCTCTTTTCTCAGGTGTATTTTGTGCACTACCAAGATTGAAAATAGGTGGCGACGACATTTTGGAAAAGGGAGAGTTCTTTCGCGGCGTACCATTCCTGAATAAGCGCAATAGTACCCCAAAAAATGTCACCTTTCTTTTTCAAAGTAAGAAGTATCTGCGTAGGCATCACATTGTATTGGGCTGATGCTAAAGCTCTTAGCTACCATTTTTGAAGAATTATAACTTCTCAATGCATTTGTACAAACTTGATTTTGCTAGATAGAGGGAAACTTTTTGTTCGGGACAGTGTCTTTGCCGCCCTCTAATAAAATGTAATTTTCAGATGGAAGCATAGAATAAAATCACTTCAAATTGGGTCATTTTGACTTAGGCTGCTAAAAACCTGAAACTGACAATGAAATTCCCAAACAGTATAGTAGCAAAACTTTTGATCAACCTTTTCCAACAATGTACAGTTTGTATCAAACGAAAATCTGGTGAATTATGCTTTTCGGGTGTGCAATACAACTCAGTAACTGATTTTTTGGCATTTTTCCTCGAAAATTTTGTCTCTTTGCAGGGATACACAGTTGATACCAACTTTGCTCTGTTAAAAAACGTTAAAACACCCTATACTGCTTGCTGGATATTTTCTCGCAAGTATCACATTTTTAGCAGCCTACTTCAAAATGACCAAAGTTGAAGTGATTTTATTCTCCTGCTTCATTCAAAAGTTACCCCTTATCAAAGAGCGGCAAAAATACTGTCAGAAAGAAAATGGTCTTACCTATCTAGCAAGATTAAGTCTGTGCAAATACGTTGAAAGAGCAACGTTATGACTTTCAAAAATGATGCGCAATTTTGCATCAATCTAATATTAGCATGTGTCGTAAATGAACCGATCATATGAACCCAATGTCTTAGGCACTGGCCATACTTCGCTCAAAAGCGCCCGAAAGCGCCCAAAA